TATATATCAATTCAACCAATTCAGGGTATATTAAATAACTCAAAGACTTTTGTGCAAGCTTTTAAGCTTAGCTTGGAAAACTTGCGAAGTTCTGCATAAAGCACAAAGTTTGCAAGTTTAAGCTTGTGGGCTGAGCTTTTATGATGAGCTTTAAAAGTTGGCGTAGTTTAAGTAAACTAGCTGAAGGCGATTACCGAGCACACGAAGATAACAATGATAAATAGGCTTATGAATATGAAGCTCAGCTGTGAAATATGTTAATAGAACTCCTTATACAAAACCTCCATTAACAGAATGTCGTTTATAAGCATGTATATACATATATCCATTCAATCACAAGATAATAAGTAAGAAAGCTGTAGTCGAGACTGTTCGACTACGAGATCCCCCGAACTTCGAGCAACTGATATTTCAATAATTCTTTGCGTCTTTATGCTCACACAAGAAACACACACACACACACACTCACAGACACATATAGGCACGCACGCTTACTATAGGTACTTAATTGCTTGATAACTTTTCTTGTGGATGTACTTTCTTCATGAAATTAGATAGATTGTTATTGTATCATTAAAATTCGTGTATTTGTCAAAGCACAACTCTCTAGTATTTGAAATAGGCCTTTTACAAATTTAGTGATGAGGGTGTGGATATAGGGGTGGGGGGTAAATTATAACAAAAATCTAAATTCTATAAAATACGCATGAATTTACATATAAAATTTGGCGATTCTAGCTCTAAAGATATTAGAGATATAATTAAATAGCACATTTTCAATAATGTTTTTATTCGATAAAAAATAACAAGAAGACATCGATTTTTGGAGATAAACTTGATATCCGCGCTATATATACGGACATTTGAAAAATAAAATTCCCTGATTTCCCATTTTCAATGGGTATGGTATAAAGAAATATTGTTTATATGCATTTATAGGTCTTAGTATATCTAGGTCATTGTTTAAGTAGATCTCTGTTCGTAATGGAGGTCACAGCCAATTTTCATTTTGCCCCGCCCACTGGGCGCACTGGACGTGAGCATTACACTTTAAGCTAATCTGTCAAGAAGGCCATCAGCTGTAAGGCACTTGTCCATTTTGATCGGGTAATAGCTATAAAACAATCACGCTCCCCAAATAAGAGTCACTCTATAGCCTTGACATTATATCCGAGAGTAGTATTTGTAGTAGTAGTAGTATACTCGTATATGTATATTTAAGCTCTTGAGTGTCTAGTTTCTATTGGTAAAGATATAGCAATTGCGGATTTACCACGTGCTTCGTATATACCGAAGACGACTCGAGCAGACGTGTGAATATTTCAGACATCGAGTCTACGCCTTGTCAGACTGAAGAGACAATGGAACAGGCAGATGGACATACGATCCGATGATGGATGGACGTACGATGATGCAGATGGATTAACAGGGAAAAGAGACAGAGGAATAAATAGAAGCATGAGCAGACAAACTAACGAACTGCCAAATATACGTGTATGCAGATATTGCTAACTGGGCGAGCTTCCTATTGGTCCTTTAAAAGTTTGTTAGCCCCCACATAGGCTAAACTCAATTTGAACTCTGAACAGAAAACAAAACCTGACTTAAACAGAGAGATAAATAATAAATAATAGCTAAATAGTTTCCTGTTTCAAATATTTTTGACTGTACTTCATACATACATACATAGACAACATATTTATATACATATTTCTATGATATACTATATATTTAGTCATTTGTTTGATCAGAATTGTGAAAGGTGTGTGCGGCATTCGTATGGGGTTCTACTTGAAGGCATTAAACAAAGCAACGTTTATGATTTATGAGTCGGAAGTTTGTTAATCTCCACACAAAGACCCAATAAGGAAAATACGAAATAGGAAATACCCTGTGGGCCAATAAAAAAAAAAAAAAACAAAAAACAAAAACAATTGTATAATGAATTTGATTTCAAGTGAAATGCATATATTACTCTTGTATACCTTGAAATACCCTGTAAATAGCTCTAAGTGCTTTGTAGAGTCTAGAATGTTGTTTGGTTCTTGTTTATTTTCTTATATCCCCAATCGAATTTTGTATCGAATTTTGTATATATGTATATTGCTTGGTCATACCCCATACTGGTCTGTTTCTGTACAGGGTATCGTTTGTAAACTCTGCATAGTTCAATGCCAAGGCTAAGTCCGTCAATAAAACAAAACGCCCCTTCAAAGTATTTCGCTTTCTGCCAAATGCTGTCCAAATCAATTCTCATTTATGCCATTAAGACAACTGCAAACAGATTTACACAAATACACACACATGCACACATACACAGGCGACAGCCAAATTTATGTCTAAAGAATTTACTTTTTATACTCGCTCGCCTTTTTTGGCTCTTTTTTTTTTTTTTTTTGCGGTGGACTTTAATCAATCAAGTTGTTTGGCTAATTTGCCTGCCATGTTGTCGGTATCTCTCGGATGCAAGCAACAAAATGTATCTGTAGACGAAGTAGTGGAAGGCGAGAAAAAAAGTATCTTTTACATTTAGCCGCTGCTGATTGACTGCTGCCAAGGTCGACAAAGGGCAAAGACGAAGGAACGAAATGAACGGCTAATCGCAAAGTGTATCTGGGCATCGACACGGCCATTTTTGCTGTGTAGCTCAGCTATGCTAAGTGTATCTATCAGATACACAGACAAAGATACCTAGACACATAGACGTTAAGAATGCGGATGCTGAGCGGAGCGACAACCAAGTCCATTGGCCAAGATTTTGAGCATAGTTTTTGATTAGCCTCGCCGCACAACGAGCATCTGAAACAAAGTCAGCTGTAACGCAATTGTCATTGAAATTTTGTCTCTTTAATGGGTCTTACCCAAAAACAAAGTGTTTAACAATCTTTAGCGAAATACCCGTTTCGATTAGCTCATAAATACGCTAAGCTCTTTTTAAGTTCGTCCACGCGCGCGCGCTCACCTAGTCACATGATAAACGTCTGAAGAGTGGACGCTCTAGCACGGTTCGTGTACCCTCCTCAACTAATGCCATGCGGGCATTACTGAGGGGTAATATCGAATCATATCTAAACAGGTTTCGCAACCGTTTTTTGAAGCGCATTTGAAGTCTCTATTGTTTCTTTTAAAGAAACTCTAACTTTAACTTGCAGCTTAACTGGTTCATTGTAAATTTAACGGTTTTTGACTCTTCAAGTATCTATAAGGTTATCTGACAAAAATCTTGACAAAGTCAAGCTACCCCATGGCTATCAGAGGTATGACATGGCGTGTGGCATTACAAGCTGTCAAGTTTCAATGTCAAGACTGCAGCCAACTCCAGATCAGCAGTGTTTCCAGGTTTTGAGACATAAAAATAGCAAAATCGTCTCTAAAAAATAGCTGAAAATAGCTAAACAAATTTTAAAATAGCTTACAAAATAGCTGAAACCTTTTATTTTTAAATGTTATTTAATAATGTTACAATTTGGTCCACATCCAAATCATCATCAGAATTATATTTTTGATTAACTGGAATCATGTTTAAATGGAATCATGGAAAATGTTTAAATTTTTTGCCCAAAGGCGCCAACCGCAGTTTTATGTTTTTTTGTCGCGGCATGCATTTTAATATCGTGCAGTTTGGCAAAAACACTGCATTTGCAGTATATACAATACGCCCGCCTGTTGTCTGACTCATCCTCCTTAATCCAATTCTTAAATTCGGTGATTGTTTTCCAGGAATCACGAAATTTCTGCTTATATTTTTTATCCATCACATACAATTAATGCCAAGAAGCGCGCCAAGAAGAATTAGCGATGGTGTAAATTCACAACTGATA